TTAATGAGATCGTTATACATTAAAGAGAGACAGTGAGAGAGAGAATGAGTGAGTGAGAGACATGTGGAAAGGTGAGACAGATAATGGGAGAGAGTGAGTGAATGAGTGAGAGACATGACCGGAAGGAGAGATAGAAAATGGTGAGTGAGTGAGTGACCCTAATAGAGAGAAATAGAGAGAAAGAGAGAGAATTATAGAGAGAGAATGATTAGCTGAGTGATACACACTAATACACACACCATTATACCTCACACGCAATCTATACACACTAATACACACACTCCATCTATACACACTAATACACACACCATTAACCTCACACACCATCTATAAACACTAATACACACACTCCATCTATACACACTAATACACACACACACACCATTATACCGTTATACTTCACACACTCCATCTACACACACACACACACACACACACACCATTATACCTCACACACACCATCTATACACACTAATACACACACACACACACACACACACACACACACACACCATCTATACACACCAATACACACGTCTCAAACTCAATTAAAATCAGAGTCAAACTTTTCCAACCATTTTCCACCAACAGAGAACTGAGTTTCAATTCGTATCCGAAGGCCTTTTGAAAGACATTGAAATCTCTGGTATAGATTCCACCCTCGTAGGACGCTGGACATCAGAGCATCAACCCTGCTTGACGAGATCCTTTAACAGTGGGATCCAACCCTGCCACTGAAGAGGACATGTTCGTTTACAGGATGGGAACGTCTCCTTTAAGATTATTCAGACTCGTATCCAAGATGTTTGTTTCTGAAATATCGGTACAAGTAAGGATTTATGTTCGAGGTGCAATGTGTGTGTGTGTGTGTGTGTGTGTGTGTGTGTGTGTGTGTGTGTGTGTGTGTGTGTGTGTGTATGAATGTGCGAGAGTGTGTATAACTGTTGCCTGTCAGTATACTATTAGATACAGTATAACACAGTAGTATGTCGTGTATATTACAACTACCTTCCATTAATTATCTTTGTTCTCTCTATAATTTCATCCTTATCTTCCTGATTTACTTTGATTATTTCTCCATTATACTGTAAAAGATTTATGTGTCGTAAATTCACATAACGAGTAATAACATCACTAATAATAAGAACACTAACATCACATCTAACTATTCGACCGGGCCCCAGTCCTAATAGGCCCCAACTTATAAAATATAATGAACCTGATAACTTTAATTATAATGGAAACTTTAATGGACCCCAATCTTAATGATAGAGTTGTATTGACTAAGGCCAATTAAGGCTGGGATCAATTTAATCCTAGACTATATTGAACACACCACTACCCAAACACAACACTCCACTACCACCACAACATCACACCTCTACCACCTCTACCACCAACACTACACTACACCACAACACAAAACATTACCTCTACCTCTACCGTCACCACCACCACTACCACCACCATCATAACACAAGTATGAAAACAATCAATATTGGGTATGACTTTGCTTGGGAGATTGGTATCCCCGCATCCCCTGAGCAACGTTCTTGTGCATTATGCAGAAGACCCGACAGCAACACCCTTATCCACTACCTCCTAAGATGTCCCCACACACAACGCTTCCGTGACGCCTGCTGGATCACCACTCCACGACCCCCTGACGGAGACACGATGATCCTCCCCATACTGGCCAGATATTTTGTAAATAACATTGATTATGTGTTAAAGGAATATCCTTCCTTCCTTAGGCTTTAGTAAGCCCCTTTATAATATTTATACTGTATATACTTGTCACACTTGCCAGATGCTTCTGGTGTCATTGTACAGGGGTACCTAGTGACAGCACTAGGATCCCGTTTCCTTTACCAAGGAATAAACAATTGAAATTGAAATTGAACAATCAATATTTTACTAAGAACGACATAGCTTCTGAGTCCTTAAAATCATCTGTTGTCGTCGAATGTGACACGCTACTCTCACCCTCCCCTTTACACTCCATAAAGCTCATTATCCCTCCTCAACCTCTCCAGTATCCATTCAAACAGCAAACTTCAATGTGGAAATTACCCTCTTACGTATATAGACATTAAAGAATATTATATTGTTTTTATATAATCTCAGCCTGTTGTGGTGGACCGTCAAGCTGTTCTCGCCTCTCTGTACCGTCTCCTCTATAGGGCTTATAATCCAGTTTGTTCCAGTACTCTTGTCCATCCACAGTTGCCAATAAATCAATGGGGAGTTTGTGGGTCAGCTATATTCTCCCTGCTATACTAAGATGTTCTAAAAGTGTATATATGACATTTAAAGTTTAGTCGTGTATATAAGCAGGTGTTAACTTACTTTATAGACTACAGTTATATGATATTTGGTGGTGATAATGATGATGATAATGTTAATTTTAGTAATAATAGTAATATTTTTTTAATGTTAATAACGATATTAATAGTAATGAGGACGTCAGTAATTAATAATAATAATAATGATAATAATA